AGAAGCTTAAGAATTACGTACATTGAGTTACTAGCTAGTACCCCAAAAAATTTATAGCAAGAAACATGGAGGTCTATAGAGCAGATTTCAACTAGGATTATATGAAAATAAGTTTAGGAATCAGGAGGACGGCCAAAAGTTGATATGCCTGCCCTCATGTGAACTGAGCCAGAAATTGTCACCGTTGCTAATAAAATGGAATATCAAAGTGATGATAAAAGAAAAGACTTCATGCTACACAAGCCTGCCGACGCAACACAAGAAGGTTGATAAACTGTATTGCTCGGGAGTTCATAGCATCAAATTTGTGAGTAGAAATATAATGGTGAAATTGGAAGAAAAATCTACATATCAATCAAGGGAAATTAACGACTTTGCGGAAACATGGATACTCAAGGATTCGAAATAGAGGAGCACATCGCATAGGCTTGCTGCATAGGGTTGAAAAACAAGAAAATGCAAAACAAGAGAAGCCATCGATATACTGACTGAAAGAAATCTTATGAAGAGGAGACCTAAAGGGTTCATGATTAGCGAGTGTTTTTATGAACGCCGCTCAAAGGAGCACACCACATTACATCTAAATAAGCACAGTAAAAATTGTAACAGTGAAGGTGTGATAGGAGGATATAGGAAATGTGAATAGCCCAGGGCAGAAGGGCATATACCACAACTGTTTACCACACGTTTGCCCAAAGGATAGGCTTACTTGTCTCTTTTGACGAGTTGTTTATGGTGCTAAGAATGGCGATACTCACTGGCGATGCCGGAGAAACGTCTGGGAATGTACTACGTCCACGGTCCGACTTTGGAAATAATCATGCATACTATGGACTCCGGACAAGGTGCGTTCCTCTTAGTCTTCCAACCAATATGACCAAGTTGCGACAACAAGGTCAAACAACTTCTATACAACGAAAGGAAACTGCGACGACATAAAAAGCCACACCATCTTAGCCTTCATACCTTCGATTAATTCATCTTGTTGCTGTCACTTTGAACAATTCTTTGTAGAGTAGGTAATAGAGTAACTATATTCTAATTCCTTTTAGGTCTACTTTATATTGTGCTGTTTATAACGTCTATACATCCAGATGTAGGATAGTCTATAAATTTTGCTTGTATTTGTCGTATTACACGTATATATATATATATATATATATATATAATTAATTCATTACAGCATTTAATTATGCTAAATACCTTTTACTAGCACATTGTGTAAACTGTCCGTCATCACATATTTCATAACGATTTACTTTCCCACTAGCATTATTCGAAATTGCACGCTTATGAGCAAAGTATTTATTTTTTTGTTTTGCTTATAAATATCTATTTTGTTATACCCTTTAAATTGCTTATGCCTTATGAATCTTTACCTTTCTAAATAAAATGCAGCGAAATATGTATTAATTAGTTTTTTCATATGATTATCAAAGAACAGGGCCTGCTTGTTGAGAAACCTTATTCGGCTCTATGGGCAATAAACTTTCACTTCAGGAAATCAGCCATTAAAGTTTGACGTGACAAGATAGGACATTCTTTCCCTTATATCTTCTATAGTCAAATATGTTTATTGTAAATAGCTATGATGCAATAAACTTTCACTTCAGGAAATCAGCCATTAAAGTTTGACGTGACAAGATAGGACATTCTTTCCCTTATATCTTCTATAGTCAAATATGTTTATTGTAAATAGCTATGATGCAGGTTTATACGTTATTAAGTTTTAATTCAGCGTTTGCTTATTCCCATCATTAAGGATCTACCACATAACTGGCACAAATATTGAAATGGGCAAGATTGGATTTGGTCTTTGTAAATTTTTAGGCTAATCGATCTGTTTTTGCTTAATATTATTGATATTTTATTTATGTGCTCTAAAATTGACTATCTCGCATACTTAAATTACAGCAAGACTTATAGATAAATATCCTATTTATAATAGTAGCAATGTTTGGTAAGTAACTTTTG